GGGGGCGTATAAAAATTAAACCCTTATTCAAAAATAAGTAAGTATTAAAAATAAGCAAGTTGTAAAATTTCTGAAATCTTTTATGAAATTTTAACTATAGATTAATAAATGTAATTATAATTAAAATAATATTTATAATGAAGGAAATATTATACAACAAATTAAATGATTATAAATTGAAATTTTACTATAAATATTAAACAAATATTTTATATTCAAAAATAAGCAACTCATAATAAAAACAGGTTGCTTATTTTTGGCAAATATGGTAATTAATTTATTAAAAAAATTATTAATTTAATATTAAATTTTTTTTTAATCCATTTATAATACTTTTTATTTTTTTTTAACCACAATGCATTTGAAAGTTTATTAAATAAAAATTAAAGCAAATTACAAATAGTAAATACAATTAACTTTTAAACCATTTGTTATGCATAAAACACCTTACGTGTGCACTGTCAGGTGATACTTTTTATCATATTTATATATAATTTAAACTAACTAATTCAGCTTCGTACTTTTATTTGTAAAATAAGAGCTTCTTCACAACAAAGAGAAAAATTTAGTGCTCAATGTAAAGTTGCAGATATTCCTGATAAAATGGTCATATTAGATGTAAGGACTCAGTGGAATTCTACTTTTGATATGTTGGTTAGAGCAAGAGAATTAAAAGAAGTAAGATTATTTATTATTGTACTCAAATTTTTATTTATTATAATAAAAACAAGAATTAAATTAATCTATTAATTATTACCATAGCCATTAAATACATTAAGTAATAGTGATATAAATCTTCGTTCTTTTATACTTAACGAAAAAGAATAGGAATGCCTTGTAGAAATTGAACTAATATTAAAGGTAAATTATAATTTATAAATTTAAAAAACTGAAGGTATTTTTAATATAATATTTATTTATAATTTATAACTTATAATTAGAGTTTTTCTAAAGCAACAAAGCAAATATGTGCTGAAACTTATCCAACAATAGCTTATGTAATACCATATTATAATATTTTGTTAAGTAGATTAGAAGATTTTCAGGATTCACCTGGATGTTGCAAAGAGGGAAAAGTGAGTTTAAACTTTAGATTATATTTGATTTTTAAATTCTTATATTAATTATATTTTTATATATATAGGAAGCAGCAAGCAATGCAATTAGGAAACTGCTAGAATACTATGATAAAACTGATACATCTATATATACTATTTCCTTAGGTAAGTTGTTAATTGTAAATCATTTAAGTATGAATTTAATTTTAAAATTATAATATTTTTATTTTTAATAGTTCTAGATCCACGACTTAAAATTCAATACATGAAAGATCAAAAATGGGATAAACGATGGATTGAATCAGCAAGGAAAAAAGTATTAATTTAATTTTTTTTTTTTGTATTTTAAATTTTATTTTATTTTCATTATACTTTTTATTTCAATAGATGCTTGAAATTTATAAGGGAAAATATGCACCAATAGAAATTAACAACATTAACAATGAATATGATCTGTCTCTTATACACATCTAGATGTGTATAAGAGACAGGTTTAAGACTATGGGGCTACAAATCTTACAAAAAAACTAAGTATAAAACTAAATACATAGAAATATACCTACGATGCTACATGTGAACGAACAAAAATACTAAAAAAAACACTAAACTCCCACTCGTAAAGCAGAAAATCCACCTAATAAGCTAGAATAACTCCCACCTACCAAATGAATTATTACCTAACAAGCTAGAAAAAATAAGAAAATTAAAAGTAAAATAAATTCTAAAACCTAAATTAATAAAAAATAAAATTTTAAACCAATTTACGCAGCAAATCTAAAATTTCCGCTAAAACTTTATTTTTTGATTTATTACGGGACTTGTCCTTCTTTTTCTTTTGCTCTTCAGGCTTCTTGGATGTTGCCACTTCTGGTTTCTTCTTAGAATTCTTAGAATTCGATTGAGTTTTCTCAGTCTTCTGACTTCGTGAAGTTTGATTATGGTTCTTATTGGCATCACCGCCACGTGACCTTGTTGGTTGCGTCGGAGGAGCATGCTGATTCCATGACAGATTATTATTTTCCCAAATTACCTGATTATCTAATACTGCGCGCATATCAACCCACTTACGTTCCCCTCTCGCTGTTTGAATAATTTTAAAACTTTTCAATCCTTTTATCGCAAAAAGGAAAGAATGTGGGCGACTGTCGGTCCATAAGGTAGCTAACATCATTGAATCTGGTATTTTATGAATTGTAGCTTGAAACTTCTCACGTTGTTTTCTTTCTTTGAGAGTCCACCTTGCTGGAAACCATCGTACGGGTATCCCCCCTAAATCCGTAATCCATACCACTGGTCGAAATCAAAACTTTCGACTGTTAAGAGCTTTCGGCATAAATTTTGCTGATTGGTCATATGATTCGTCACATTTTTTGACCAACAGCAAAAATCAGTAAAATCAATCACAAATCGACTGATACTGATTGTTAAACGAAATCTTGTTCAGTCTTTTGGTGAAAAATTGACTTATACCGATTGTTATACGAAAACTTGTTCCTTTAAGGTCGTTCAGTAAATTTTGCCGATTGGTCACATAAATCGACACAATTTTGCCAAATAGTAAAAAACATTATTTTTTAATTCGAATTTTATACTTTGTTTACATTGTTTATATTCAGTGCATAATTACATCAGGAAATTTTATAGCGCGAAAAATTGCGTAAGTTTACGATTTTGTAAGTTTATGAAAGTTTATGGCATAATATTTCGAAAAATTTCAAAATATTACGTAAGTTTACAATTTTTTAAGATTTATGTGATATTACGGTTAAAATATTACGTAAGTTTACAATATCGTAAGATTTACGCAATATTACGGTCAAAATATTCTGCAAATTTACGAGACTGTAAACCTGCGTAATATTACGGTTGAAATANGGAAGGTAAAAAATATTTTAAACACTATCATTTATTTATTTAAAATTAGAATATTATTATATTTTAATTTTACTAATATTTAATAACGACACAAAGAAGAGTTTCCAAACCTAGCAATATGGCAAAGAATTATTTAGGAATTCCAGGTATATCTTTCTGTTCTATTTTATTATCATTAAGTATTATTTTTAATTAATTTTTCTTTATATTTTAGCCACAAGTGTACCTTCGGAAAGAGTATTTTCAAGTGCTGCAGATGTAGTAACATCAGATAGAGCACGTCTTGCTCCAGAAACAATACATGCTATTATGTGTTTAAAACATTGGTATCGTTCAGGTATTTTAGATTAATAGTATAGGTCTATAGGAGAATCTTTTTAAAAAAGATTATATATGTTAATATGTATTGAAGAATTAAGATTTTATAATAAAATTTATATAGGTTTATTATTAAAGGTGATATACGGTATATATATATATAGTTTTTATAGTTTTTGTAATAAAATAAACATAAATAGTAAATTTCGGTAAATCAGCATTGGTAATCGGTAATTACCGACCAGTTTTGGTTATACAGTTTACCGATATTAAAAATTCGGTAAATTACTGATTACCAATACTGAAATTCGGTTTCGGTTTCGGTATGACTCAAATCGAAACTGAACTGTGCCAATCGGAACCCTACCTTTCAGTCTTTCTCCATGTGTAACTCTATTGTTTATCATCTTGTGTAACCTTTGCTTTTGTTTTTTATTTAGACCAGCTAAAGAAAAATCCTTTTTTTTAGGAATTTATAATTAATCCTTTTCAAAGAATAATTTTTTTTAAAAAAAATTCTCTTGGTTTTAGTTTAGAAAATACCAGATTTCTATATTTAAATATATATATTTTAATTCATTAATTAAAAAGAATTTTTTGTATTTGAATTTTTTAAGCATTTATATATATTTTGATTACTTTATTTTCAACAATTAGGAAACTTTATTCTGATTTTGATTATATGACTATATGTGCAAATGATTCTTCTTAGTCTTAATATACTGAATGGAGAATATTATTATAGATATCATTGCATTTGTTAAGATTATCTACTAATGTTGTTGTCCAAAACTTATTTAGCAATTAAATTAATTCAAAAACTTTATTTTTAATGAAAAATTGGTAAATCTGAAACTTTTCTAAATTATAATTAGTTTTGGAAAAGCATAAAAATAGTTTAGACATTAATTTTATTATAAAAATAGTTTTAGATTGAATTTTGTTTAAACTAAAATTTTGAAAAATAGTTTTAGCAAGTATTCTTACTATAATAATAACTTAATTTGAATTATTGTCAAATTGAATTAAGTTCTAATTTAATTCGAATTCAACTCAACTTATCAGAAATTGATTTATAAATTGACTTAATATCAGATGCTTGTAAATTTATTAATTTATATTTGACTTAATTTGACTTAATTTAACAATAACTTGAATTAACTTGACTTATTTTAAAGTACTATCTGTATTTTTAGCTTTTAATTTTATACTTTTGAATTTATAATTGACCTTTTATTTAAAAAAATTTATTTTTTAAGAAAAGGTATATTCTTAATTTATTATTTGTAATTACAAAATAAATTATATATAAATCAATTCAAAAATTATTTTTTGCAAATATTTTAATATCCAGTAATCCAATTTTAAAAACATTTTTTAATAGAATTCAATAAAAGCTATAAAATAAAAAAAAGTTCATTAAAATTGGATATAATCCTAATTTTTAAGTTTTAATTTTTAAAAAATGGGCTAATTTGCTAAAAGTTAGTCCTAATTTTATATTTTATAAAATGATTTTAATAAGTTATATTTCAATTTTTACAATTACTAGATATCAATAATTTTATAACAATTTATAAAATTGAATTATTAAGTTATATTTAATTCAAATAATAATATTTTATTATATGCAGTTCCTTTATAACATATTTAGTATTCTTAAAAATGCATTATTTAAATAAATAGATTGTTTAAAAGAAATATAAATTAATATAATTAAAATTATTATAGATAAATAAGTATCAGACATGCCATTTTATTGTTTCTATATTCATAAATGAAATTAGAATGCTATTATCCAGAAGGATTTTAAATTTATCACTTTTTCTTTACATTGCAATAAATATATTAACTTTTTTCAAATGTGATATTTCTGCCTGTTTTTTTCGGGATATCTCATTCCGGAAGTTTCCTAATTTCTATCTTTTCGTTTTTTTATATATCAGTTAGTATATTTTGTTTTAATATTATAAAATAATTTATTATTATTTTTTTTATGCAAGAAATAATTTTTTTTTTTATGAAATTTTTCTAAATTACAACTAATTAAATCTGACAAATAATCATTAAAAATTTAGGTCTTATTTTAACAAAACTATTATTATATCTAATTGGTAAAATAAGGTTTGGAATATAAGAAGAATAAAAAATATAATTATAATTTATTTTTTTTAATCAATTAATCTCTTTTTCTGGAAGAATTTCTTGAGATAGAAAATTTGCCAAGCTCCTAAACCTACGAGTACAAACATACTGCCAAGACTAAACCATTTGACACGTTCATTTGTAGATTCTTTGAATGACAAAAAATGAAAAGAGGTTCACATTAGAAAAAAGAAATTCAACTCTTAAGAGAAATAAAAATCAAAGAATAAATGCACATACCATTTGTATCTCTCATTCTTGCTTCACGTCTCCGTAAATATTCCATTTCATCAACAATTTCTTGAACAACTTGTTCTAATTTTCTTAATTCAGCTTCCATAGGTTTTAACTTTTCGGCCTGAGCTAATGCATTATAATCAATAGCTTCAGCACCTACATCAATATCCAAATCAATTGTACGATGATATTTTGGGTCAGGACGGAATCCTATTTTACACATAAAAGACAAATTAACAATTGATCACTGATGAAAAAAAAAATATACCGAAAATTATTAATTATCAATGAAACTTGCCGTCATCTAAAATATTTGTTAAACAAACCGAAATATCCGCGTCAGTATGTGTAGTAAAAGGCATACGAGATTCTCCATCTATATCTCTTTTACGTCCGTATTCGTTATGAGAAGAACTATTATCAGTTATCTAAAAATTATATCGGTGACCAATTTATTACTATTATTTTTTTTTACTGGCACAATACACCTCTCTTACTAACCTCTGCATCAACTCTCTGGTTGTAGCCAATTCCAGCCTTAACTGTGACTACTACTAAAGTACCGTTAGAAACGTATTGCGAAACACATTTCGGTGTTATTGCATTTGAAGGAGTTGCCACAAGATCGAATTTTATTCCCGCTACTACATTAGATATGGTTAAAAGAATAAATAAGAGTAAGGAAAAGGAAACTACTGAATAATGTGTCATTTGTGCAAAAAAAAAACTACTGACAAATTTTCGGAAATTTTTTGAAGAAATCTTAAAAAGGAAACTTTGCACACTTTGATTGGATAATGTCAATTTGTCCAATGATGATGGTAAAGTCAAAAAAAAAAGAAAAAAAGAAAAAAAATCTTGCCGTTGCCTGGAATCGAACCAGGGCTAGCGCGGCCACAACGCGATGTACTGCCACTATACGACAACGGCTCGTCGATTACACAAAGGCATCCTTTTAATTTTAAATCAATCATTTGAAATAGAATTTATATAACTATTTAAATTCATGCATGATAAAGTTGATAAAGTTGATAAAGTTGAACCAGAGATCACTCATTAAAAAAGTTAAGAATAAATTGAATTTACGTTTTTTTTTACATTATGTGAGGAATAGAACAAATTTTTTTACAAAAATTTATATTTTAATTTAAAGTCAACGATATTTCAAAAAAGAAACTAATCTTGAGTATAAAAAGTATAAAAGATGAATATTTTACAAGTTTCATTATACGAAAGAATTGATTATTTTTTAAACTAAATTTATCTTAAAGAAAATCAAAGTTATAATCAGATAAAGAAATCAATATAATGACAAAAAAGAAACAAGGACTATTTTAGTTTTCTAATCTCGTTATCGATGTCAGAAACTAACTCTTTCAGTTTATTCCACTGTTCCAGTTGTAAAGAAATGCCTTTCAATTAAATCAAAAAAACCCAATTAATTGAAATTATAAGTGAAGGAAAAGCAGCATTTATAATCAATTTTCACACCTTTCTTTGTTGGTTGTGTTTTCCCGTCTTTAGTCTCGAAGAATTCACGAAAGTCAATTAAAACCATATTTTTCCATTCGCGAATGGTCACTCTTTTTTTATTAGACAACTAAATTATAAATGGTCAAAAAAAAATTTTTTAAAAAAAAAGAAAACAAACTTATTACATTATCAAGTAGAGTTTTTACTTTGAAATATGTCTCTCCGGCACTATTTTCCCCTCGATCACTTCGATCACTATCGGAATCATCTTTTTTAATTTTTTTTGAGCTTCGAGAAGAGCCTTTTTTACTCGCCTATTTGTTTAATATTAGTAAAATACACATAATAAATAATGATAGATGTAAATATAGTCGAAAAATACTTTGGGCTCATCAACTTCTTCAAATTCTTCTTCCTCCTCATCATCGTCAACTTGTTGCTATATTGATTACAATATATGTAATTGTAATATTCGCGTCAATAAAATAAAATAAGAAAAAACAAGTATATATAACTGAAGCAAATTAAACGACCTCCTCCTCCTCAAAACCAGCTTCTTCGTCGCTATCAACAATATATTTTGAGCTTTTTCTTTTATTAGAAGACATTATTCCAAAAATTATAGTGTAAATGTGTAGAATTTGTTTATAACGCGAAAAACGCAGATCATAAGCCAAATTAATGCTAATTTGTAATTTGGGCGTAATAAAAAAGTGAGCCATAATGAGAGCATCTTAACTACTTTTGATGAAACCATACCCCCGTTATAATATTCCCCTTAAACAGTACCCTGGTAATATCCACAAAAGCTGCATAAATCAAAAGTAATACTTACTAACTGAGACAAGACAAGGTAATATATGCAGGCGTTATACGGTATTTTCCATTCAATCAATCAATAATAATGCCGTTGTTGCGGGATTTGAAAAAATCATAAACCAATAAATAAAGAAAAATAGTACGTTATTATAAATCAGGTAAATCAAGCTAAGACAATAGATAACGGATGAAACAATAATAGGACCCTGGTGTGCTACAATGCGTTATCTTTCAAAGCTTAATAGAGTATAAATAGACTAAACATTCGATAAATTTATTATTTCCAACCCATAAACGAGAGAAGTCCTGGAGACAAACTGACATTATTCTCTATTAATTATTTTTTCCTCTTTAAAAAATCATTCGGCCGGACCGATAAAAAAAGTCAATATCAATCAGAAACGCCTTTTTACCTCTTTCACAAAAAGAAAAATTATCTACCATCTTTCATCCGCTTTTCTATCCATCCCTAAACGACATTTAAAGATTAATATTCGCTATGAAATTTAATAAATCCTGCCATTTGTTTCATTATATGTGCATGTTATTAATATGTTTTATTATTCTTTCTATAATCATTCCATCTACTTCTGCTATACCAATACCAATTATTGATGGAAACAACAACCCTCTCCATTTTCTTTCAAATCCAAGAGTTTCTTTGAATGAATTGAATGACGGTTTATTATTTTAAAAGACATATTCATCATACGTATCATATTTAGTCTAATGCAGATTTAAATCAAACAATGTGAGGGTTATTTTGTATATACTACCTCAAAAAATTTCAGTGTAAAAAAATAATATAGAAAGATTTAAAGATGTTTTTTTTTTTTAAAAAAAAAGTACATTTTAAAAAATATTTATTATTTGTAATAGCGACAAAGTTAATTTCTTTTTCTTTGTACTTTCTTGTTATATAATTCTCTCGTATTTCAATCTTGATGATTTCTTATCAATAAAAATTTCAATATTAAAGCATTTTTCTTGTGACAATGCAAAGAGAAATGCAACAAACAAATTATTTATGGTTGTCAAATCATTAAAACATTATACTATTTGATTTATTAATGTAATCTTGCAGGTAACTTTCGAATTATATAAAATTTATATGCAATTAAATCAGAAATAATTAACTATTTCTTCCATTAAATGAATGAAAATGAAAAATCAATAATCTAAATGTATTATTATATATTTATAGCCTACCTTCATCACATTACCATTAAATCCTATTAATTATTATATAACTAGAACATATTTATTTTATCGTTTTTTAACAGCTTTCTTTTTCTTAGGTGGTGGTGGTGTATCATACATATTAATATTATAATCCATTGATTCGTCATCTGCTGCTGCTTCTTCTATACTTTCTTCAGATCCAAATTCAGATTCTATAACTTGTGATTTCTTTCTTTTATTTGATACAGCTCGTTTTGTTCTTTTCTTCGATCTCTGATTTTTATTTGGTGTGGTCCTCCTTTTTTTTCCTGTAATTTTATTGCCATCAATGTTCTTTGCATTGCTATTCTCCTCATATTTATCAATTGATTCTTCATCTTCATCTTCATCCGTTACATTTTCATCACTAAATTCAATTTCTTCTTCCTCACTGTCTCCTACACAATTAACTTGCTCACTATTTTCAGCTTGCCCCCAATGTTCTCGATCTACATCTCCTCCATAATAAACAAACAATTCTTCTCCTTTTTTAATATCTCGCTTCGTCCAACATATAACTTGATTGACTTCACTTCCTTCCAGAAATACCATATTTCCAAATGGGTCTTCATTCATAAAATGAAAAGGACAAAATATTGGTCCGTCTCGTTTTGTAAATGGTTCACCTTTCTCGTCAGTAGCATCAAGGATTGTATGTTTATATCTCATAGAATAATGTGATGCTTTTCCAACTTTATCCTTACGTTCATCAAATTCATCTTCCATCATTGGAACACCAAAATAAAATCCAAGAGGCGTTCCTATTGGAAGATTACGTTTGGCAAAAAGTCCATTACCAGCATTTGGAATAGTTGAAAGACGGACTTCAACAACATCATCTAAACTTTTGGGTACGTTTGAAAGATCTAATCCATCTAATATTTCATCAGGTAAACTAGCTCTACATGCATCAGGATCTCCCGATTCCATCCTTTTTTGTTGTTCGACAATTTGTTGTTGCAATTTTTTCTTATTTCTTGTAGCCGTAGCTGGACGTGTATCAATTACGCCATTTTGATTTTGATTTTGATTTTGATTTGGATTCGGATTCGGATTCGGATTCGGATTTGGATTTTGATGTGGATTTTGATTTTGATTTTGATTTTGATTTGGATTTGGATTTGGATTTGGATTTGTTTGTGATGTAGGTAATGTAGAACATTTTACTTTCCCCCTTTCAGTTTTTTCATATACACCTGCTCTAAATGGATAAATACACAAGTGTCCTCTTGATTTACATTTTCCGCAAGCTGGTAATTTCGTGTCACATGATGATTCTGCGACACAACGACGACATCGCGAATGGAGAGGATTACTTACGGCACCGACACTAAGCATAACTATATGTCCACTATTTTGCACTGTTTCATTAAATTACGATTAAGTATTATAAGGTTATTTTAATATTTTTTTAAAAAAATTAAAAAAATTAATAAAAATTCGTTTACCTGTTTTTAATTTTTTAGGTTTCCCAAAACATAATGGCCAATCATGTTCAATTATATCATTCATCCACCGCCTATAATGTTTGATGGCATCATCAAGATCGTTTGGAATAAATGATAGCTTATAGTAGTTAGTGTGCGAATTCGGATCTTTCTTGAATACTGTAAAATATTTGTCTGCATTTGTTGTCAAACAGGCGCTAGCAGAATTTCTTGGTGTCTATATAGGGAAAGGAAAAAAAAAATAAATAAAAGAAGTTTAAATTGAAGAAAATATAGTTGATCGAAAAGAAATAAAATAAAGAAATAATATAAAATCGGTATACAAACAGGTTACCAATTCAACCGCTGGTATATGTTCATATAACTCACCTGACCAGTAAAACATCGTGGTAAACCTGTTACAGCACTCAACTTCTCATCCAAAGAAATAGCAGCGTCAATTAAATCGCCACGTGCCAATGTATAATCTGGAGAATTTTGCAATGCTAAAAGCATCATATGTTGCTGATTGTGCCATCGAGGTCGAAGCAATGGTGGTCTTATACGTCGTTTAACATTATTATTGGGATCATTAATACAATCATCATCTTCTACCCGTATTCCTTTTGGAAAGAATTCATTCATAAGCTTCTTAACTTTTTCCCCTTCACGGGGAGGAACATCTATTTTAATTAGATCTTTAAATTTGTAACCCATTGAATCAGCAACATTCTGAATACATGCAAAGAAATATTCTACACCAGTTCTCTGCTCTTTCTCTAAGAATAATTTTCTAGAAATGTCGGATAAATGAGGATAAACCATATAAACGTTTTTTTCAGAGTTAAATTTTGCAGTACATTCCTTAAGGAATGTCGAAAGCGCTTCACGAGTACCAATCCAATCTCTGTGAGATTGTTGTAAAACAGATTTTGCTACATCCATTAAGGGTGGAGCAACTTCAATTGTCGTAGCGCCGTTAGCGTCAGCGTTTGAGGGAGAAAGAGTAGCAACCAAAAATTCTCTTAAGTCATTTGCTCTTTCGCCTGTAACCATATCGGGATTTGGAGTTATGTTGAGTAATCTCTCGATCAAATATAACCGGTCCATTTCGTCGATCTGAGCTAATCGGCTAATCGCACTTGCGAAGACGTTTAGTGGGAGTGGAGACAAAATCTTTATACAAGTGTCCTTTATTATATCCACCCGAGCTTGTTCGTTAGTTAAACCCTTTTGATGTCTAAGTTTGAGTCGAATACGAGGTTCCAACCATTGTTTTAACGTGCCCGACAATTCAACCTTTTTTTTTCTAGAATTGCCAGACATTTTTTGGTCACGAACAAAGATCGTCTCAAAAGTCACGGTAAAAAAAACGATGGGAAGTTATGCCCGCGTTTTCAACGCTTCACTTTAGGATTTCAACACTTTTGATTTATTTATATAAGTGGGAAATGTTAATCAAATTTTAAATGTAGGTTTTTGTTTTGTATTTTTGAATGTTGATTTACGTGTCAATGTTGTACTAATATTAAATTATGGTATACTAAGATTTCTGCGGAAATATCGGGATTATATACACTCATACACTTTAATGTTGCGCCTCGATAATATATGTCTAAAAAAATGCCATCACCTCATTAAAGAGGTTCAGGTATTTATAAAAAGTAAAACCCATACCCATATAGGCAGGGGTTTTTTAATTTGAAATTTCAATTATAAAGTAATAATGATCATCAACATGAATTTGTTTAATTTTCCAAAAAGAAATTAGTATTTATTTTGTTCTACATATTTAAATAAGTGAATTGTTTTTTTTTTCTACGGTACTACATATTAAAAGTAGTCTGATCGTGCTTATTTTACAAACATATGTTACATAATAATCAAATTACTTTTTTTGATTCAAAAAGTGTTAAAATTAGTAAAAAAAAAAAGAAATTTGATTTCCACTTAATAAATCTGGTATTACTATTATCGTTTTTAAAGTAATAAAATTAATAATTGATCACCACGATTTAATTCTCATAGTGTTTTCTTCGCCCATAACATTTAAATGCATTTTAAATACTTTGTCCAACATTTGAGGTTCATGAGCTGCACCTATTGACATACATTTCTTTTCAGACATATCAAAATATTCTTTAAGAATAGGTTTATAATCTGGATGTGCACATTTTTCAATTATTAATTTTGCTCTTTCAATTGGTGCAAGTCCACGAACATCCGCTAATCCATGTTCAGTTACTAACACGTCAAGATCATGCTCACTATAATATATTATTAATTAATATTCATATTTGCTTTTTTTTTAAAAAAAAAGTATATACTGATCATTATATTGATTTTGATTCTTACGTTTGATCTATGTGAGAACACATTGGTACCACACATGAAATGCCTATTGGATCAATCTTGGTGGGTCTTGTAGACGGTGTATGCATAATACTAAGTTTAGAATTTCTCAAAAAATCATTTGATCCACCAAGACCATTTAACATTCTTGTTCCGCACACGTGTGTAGAATTTGCATGTCCGTAAATATCAAACTGACATATAATAAAGTAGAATATAAGAACGCGTAAAAATTAAAGATGATGACCAAGAGAGTTTTTTTTTTACCTCAATGGGAGTATTCATTGCAATAACACCCAATCTTCGAATGATTTCAGGTGAATTAGAAACACTTTGACTTCTTAATACTAGACGATCCTTTAAATCATCCCACATTTCATAGAATCGTTTAAATCCGGAAGGTGAAAATGCGACACTTGTAGCTGATGCAAAGCTTAATTTATGATGTTCCCAAAAATCTAAAAATGTATCTTGAATAACTTCCGTCCATACTTCAACATTTGTAAATGGTCCATCTGCAAGACCTCCGATAATCGCATTGGCAATATTTCCTACTCCTGATTGTAATGGAAGAAGATGAATTGGTAATCTTCCCATCGTTACTTCATGTTCTAAAAATTCGAGAATGTTATTTGCTATATGATGCGATACTTCATCCTGTAAGTCACTATCAGATGTCTTATCAAGTTTTTTAGATTCAATAACTGCAATAACTTTATCATTATCGAGTGGAATATATGGCTATATTGAAATAAATAAATTAATGTGTATTTTTTTTTAATATCATATTTAATTTAACTTACCGTTCCGACACGATCGTCAACTCTTTGAATCAAATTTGGGAATTTATATGGAGCAAATTTACCTAAAGTGATATCATGTAGTCCTTCATAATTAGGTAAAACTGTATTAACTTCCAAGATGACATGAGCTGCTGATTGAACGATTTCCGGTGTCGCTCCTACGGATGCTCCAGGAATAATATGTCCTTCTTCAGTGACAGCCGTCGCTTCAACAATAACAACATCAAGTTTCTCTATCTCATTCCCCTTCTTTTCCAAGGTATAATATCCGGAAACCAAATCCTAGATATATGGAAGATTAATTTATTTAATATAAATTCACATAAATTAAGGACAAAATGTAATGAATTAACGATGCTTTTTACTAATGGAAATTCCGAAAGATGTTTGTCGGCAAATAAAATACGATTAGCATTGATTTCTCTTTGAACGGTTTTTCCAACTTGATATGGATATCTACGAGCTATCATTCCATTCTAAACATTTTTAAAAGTAATAAAAATTTAACAACCCAAAAAATACGCATTTTTTTTACAAATGAAACTTTAAATTATTTACCTTTGCCCATCTTTAAGAAATAACATATTTATGTGGCGCAGCAAATCGGAAATGTTAACAAATTGATATTCAATTAATTAAACTTTAAAAGGAAGCATGTAAAAAATCGTACCTATCTTCGGTTTCAGAGGCTGTACTAGCGCCAACAAAAAGATCAAACCGAAGTTTTCCCTGTAAATTATTTTTTTCAACATGTTCCGCTAATGCGATTGGTGTTACTTTTGGGTATCCCACTCCTGTAAATCCAGACTATTAAAAAGATTATAAAGATTGTAAAATCTAAGAGATTTTTTTGAATTTTTTTATTCTAATAATTATTAATTTAATTTACCCATCCCATGCGCATTCCATTTTTAAAGAACCCACTAGCGATAAGATCATCAACTGTCGTAAGTTTAGAGAATAAACTTGGCCTACGGACACGTGATTTAATTCCCTCTGTTATCAATTTAGATATAGCTGCCATTGAGTAAAATATGGAATGAGAGGAGGCTGCCTTTTTATATTTTCAAGTTTTATTTCATGGTCGTACTAAAAGGAAAGTTGGCATCATCATGTCAATTAATTATGTCCAATCAAGAAAGCCATGTTAATCTTTATTACAAAAATCATTCGATTTTGAAGTGCAGATATCATGTATATCATATTTCTCGAATTTTTTTTTTTTATTACATCTATAAATCTATAATAGTAAATTAGGATTTTTTTTGATAATATATGTATATAGTAAAATACATATTTGTTCTTTTATACATTTATAAATATGATATCAAAATAAAATATCTTTCTAAATGGCAATTATAATATAAAATTTTTTTTATCTATTTATTTATCAGTTTGAAAGGTCAGAGATTTTTAGTTATTTATCTTCAAAAAAAGTGATAATAGAAAATAAAAAAAAAATAGAATATTGATTTAATTTGATAACTATCATATTTTTTTTCAAAAAGTATAGTTTTTCAATATAAATAATAAACTGAAAACAATCCATTATTAGAATTAGGAAATATATAAAATCATTTGAACCTATATATATAGACAAATGTTCTACTGACAAATCATATTTAATTAGTTGTTATTAATAGTAGTAAATTTTTTTTGCTAAAAATTTCAATTTCATTACCAACTAGTTTTGGTTTTATTATTAATTAAACTATACAATAATAATTTTTAAAAAATATATAAAATTATATTATTTATTCCATGGCTTCTTGTTAAAATTTGTGATTTTTTTTCTTAATATTTTCATAAATGATGTTTATTTAAAAAGATATTAAAAGATTTTATGGTATAGATACTGTAATATATACTTGTTATTCTATGGATTTTAATGAATAACTGAAATATTTACTGATAGTTTGATACTTTGAAAATCCTTCAAAGAGAAAAAAGTATCAGTATATATATATAATGTTATTAGATATCTATAGAATAACAGGTTTAGCTTATTATATATGATATATATACTGATAGATTTTATACTTTTTTATCCTTTTTTTATACAAGTAGAATAATTTACAAAAAAATCCATCAATATATATATATAATAAATAGAATAAAAATCAGTTATTTTATAATTAAATTAGAAAATTAATTTGCTTATTTTTATATAATTTTTAAGGTTAAATATCAATAATACTTAGCGATCATAATAAAAACCTTTGCTTAGAACTATTAATAAAAAATATTTTGGAACTTTATCTATATAAGTATTTTCTGGTATTTTGTATATATAATAGTTATTTTACAGGAAATTGTAAATATTAATGATTATAATTTATAAAATATATTTATTAACTAAATAATTTATCACTAAAAAATATTTTATTAAATACAATTTTAAATATAATCAATATATTGTAAAGCTAAACTAAACATAATATACAAGTAGATTAATAATATTCAATTAATAAAGTTAATAAACAGTAAAAGAAAAATTTAAAATTAATACTATTATAAAAAATGTAAATTTCTTTACAAATATTATACTTATATATACCTATAAAAATTAATATGTAGATAGTTTCAACCTTGCTGAACAATTTTCAATTAATTTAGAAAGTCAATTTTATTTGTATAATTATGCTCTAAAGTTATAAACAAAGAAACAAAAAATTTAAAGTTAGTACCATTATAAAAAATGCACTTTTCTCCATAAATATTATACCCACACTTATAAAAATTAATATATAAGTAGTTTTAACCTTTCTGAACAACTTTTAATTAATTTAAAAAGTCAATTTAATTTGACTAAAGTGGTGTAATTATACTCTAAAGTTATAAATAAAAAAGTAAAAAATTTAAAAGTTATTATGGTACAGTGCAAAAAGATTTGTACATTACTAAAAAAGGATAAGATTTATGCCAAAGAAAAATTTTGTAAAACTAAATATAACAGGCTGAGATTTATATATTTATTAGTAAATAATTACCCGAATTTGCTGCTAAAAATTTTTTTTATATTATGATACTTTCTTTTTCCTTAAAATAAAGTAGCATATCACTAATAGATAACGAAAAACTAATGATAATAAAATATGCATAATTATCTTTCAAAGGCTAATTTTACAAAAGAAAGTTATCTGAACCTTAAATTACGCAAGTAAGTTGCTGAAACACTAATTGTACTAAGAGTACAGTTGGGAGCATTGCATTAGACTGGAATAAGTACAGTGATTGCACATTTACACCACATAAAACACTTTGGATGGCCTAATCCAACTTCAAGTATAAAAAACTGGAAGTCAATATTGTTTTTCAAATGAATTACAAAAACTAGAACTATTAGAGCTGGTTTAAATATACAAGAAAATGCTACCATTTTCTTGCATTAAAATTGCAAAACAATATGATCATGAAGTTTTTATATGTCACCTATTACTATGAACTACAGCCAATTAAAGGTGTTTAAGCAGTTGTAAAAGGTGAAATTGTAAGATTTTAAATTATTACCTGTTTGAAATACACTTTTAAATGCATTAAAAAATGAAGCTAATTTAAAGATTATAAAAAATTTTAGAAAAAAGTGCTTAAGATACCAAAGCATATTTTAGTATATTTTGAGGCTAACAAAAATGTATAATTAATTAATAAAGAATCTAATAATTATAGTAAATCTGATGATAATGCACAATTTGATGTAATAAATGATATTATAATATTTCCAAATATATACTAATAAGATTTATATAAAAAAAAATGAAATTTAATTTATTAAAAAAATTTTTATTGTCATTTTTTTTGATGTACAAATTTTTTTGCATCGGACCATACCATTATAAAAAATATGCTTTTTTATATAAACATCATATTTAGCCTTATAAAAATTAAAATACAAGTAGATTTAACTTGCTAAACAACCTTACTTAAGCATAAAAAGTAATCTCATATAACCAAAATGGTGAATAGTAAATTATATTTTAAAGTAAAACATATTTACAATAATTTTATTTAACAAAATAAACATGTATAATATAATAATTTTGTATTAAAAATGGTATACTGAGTTTAATAAAAATTAATAAAAAAATATTATTACATGCTCATTAGGATTGTGCGGAATTTATTATACCAATATTTTTGTTATCATGCCCAATATTTTTTATGATGATCAACAATATAATTATATTAGTACACATACGGGATTATATATATCAGCCTTCAGCTGATATTTTGATGTCCTGTTCAATAACATACAATTATTAAAAGAAAATGAAAATTAATAAAATATTGAAAAAAAAACTGAAATTTTATCAAAAAATTTTTTATTTATGTATTTATATAGTTTTTTTTTTTTTAAAAAAAAAAACTTTATTATAGATGCGATCATGTCCTATTATAATCACGCTTACCTACATATATAAACTTACAAATATAAGATAAACAAATACATATAAGAATTAAGCATTATGAAACAAGACTACTTTTCATAAAGAACAAGTCGACCTGTCACCTAAACGATCACATCATTGTTAAAAATCATGATGCGATCTCAAATTCAAAGGTGACTGTTATGATCTACCTAAAAATTTGCCCAATAGCCACCTCGATGGAATGCCAAATCATTCCATTTATTCCAATTACTTTCTAACATATTACAGTCAACATTGTAGTGATACTTGGCTAAACTCTTTTTGCCAAAAATTTCGTAAATTTTATTTATATAAAATTATAATTTTATTATAAAAATATATTAAATTATATTATACATAACACAGGTCGAAAAGTGAAAAATCAGGCATCAATCAGTCACCAATCAGTCACCAATCAGTCACCAATCAGTCACCAATCAGCTACCTGATTGTTGACTGATTGGTGCCTGATTTTTTACTTTTCGACCTGTGTAAAATAGTTTTATAAATTCCTTTAAAAAATATTATATTTTAATATAAATTTATTATTTTTTTTTTTATAAGTAATTATTATAATTAAAAATCCATGGAAATCCATAAAAAATCTATGGAAATACTATGGAATATTGAATTTCGGCATTTTGTCTTTTAATTTTAAATGTCTAAACTATTTCGGTTTAGTCAAATGACTAAATATTTCGGTTTCGCTCAGGATCTCTAACTCAACATCTTTAACACCCACTTCAGTGCGTTTATTATGTGACTTAGCTTTTTTATCTTTACCACTAATACCGCACCGCTTTTCTTTCTTTATCTACACGTTATAAATAACGTGCATGTATGATTCTTTCTTTATTAATAAAAGCTGTATGTACATACTATTGAATACAGAATGATGAAATAAACAAATAAAATGTATTTGTTAAAACTACTGAAGAAGTCTATATATTTTTCTTTCAAATAAAATTTGCCATATGTAAATATAATCAAATATGGAATAGTGTGAAACTAAAAAATAAATTCAATAGATAAATTACCTATATATTTTTCTTTCTAACTAAATAGCCCTATGTAAATATTATCAAATAGGGAATGTTTTATATATTTATATAGTAAAATTGTAAAATGTAATATAAAATTAACTGAAAGCAAAATCATCAATAATAAAAATAAAATAAAAATTAATTATAAATTTAATATATAATTTTTTTTTTTTTTTATTCATTTATTTTAGATGCAATCTTGTCTTAATATAACTACGTTTACTTACATACATAAACTTAAAATAAGATTACAAATATATATAAAAACTAAGCATTATGAAACAAGACTACTTTTCTAAAGAAAAGTTGATCTGTCATCTAAACGATCATATCACTGTTAAAAACAATGATACAACCCAAATTTTCAGGTGACTGTCAAGATCTGCCTAAAAATTTACCCAGTGACCACCCCAATAGAATGCTAAATCATTCCATTTGTTCCAATTAGTCTCATCATTAAAGTTTACTACATGAACGTTATTATCCTCACATTTCTTATACTTCGACTTCATTTTTTTCATTTTACTACTAATATTACATCTTTTCTCTTTTCCACTTATAACTCATTCCTATATTTCCAAATCAATATCTTAAAATCTAAAATTATTTTGCTAATTATTAGTTTTAACATTTTTTGTATCTGTTATCATATATAACTTCAATAAATCAACCAATTGATGACTCACTTGATTTTTTAATAAAAATGTAAAATCATATAAACTATTAAGATCCCA